AAATATCACAGCACACATTCATACAGTGATTGCAGAGGAGACCATCAAAGAGAAGAAATCTAAGGGCCAGGTAACCAGGGTTGCCAACATCTTTGCTTTAGTTCTTACTTACCATGATCAAGCAGGAGCAAGAATTTTTCCTACTGATTTTTTTTCATGAGCCAAAGTGATTCTCAAAGAGCACAATAATAAATCAGTAAGGGGAAACAGATCTGGGTGGTCTTTTGAAGCTTTAATAGGAAAATATTTATCTTTGTGCTTGCACACGGAATGGAGAAAACAGAGTCCTGAGGGCTTTTGTAAGCAGTAAATAAAACTGATTGCATATTTTCATCACTCTAAAGCTTTCATTAGGAGTAAGTAGTTAAGGTTTTGATGGGGAATTTTACTTAAAATAATTGAATTGCTATAACTGAGATTGCATGGTATGCTCAATCTCAAGAGGTCTCCTAAGGTAAGTGTCTGAGTCATACCAATGGGAAGAAAACAGAGGGATTCCTAAAACACAGCAATGGATAGGTTTATTAGAAGTGCAGCACTGCAGCACTGATGGTAAGCAAAATATCTTCAAGACTGGCAGGAGAAGCTTTTGGATGAAACCTTGCAGATACAATTTTCTCCTGTGGCTGAAAGAACCAGCAAGACACTGACAGTAAGAGTGGCTCTGGTTCTCAGAGCTGGATGCCAGATTTACTGGCCTTCAAAGCTAGAAATTGGGCATATCACAGCCTGCTCTGCCTTGCTCCACTACTTTTGAAATATGGAATACATCAGCAACAAAACCACTTGCTCTCAAGCTGTGACCACAACCAAGCACAGGTGCCCCGCAGCTCCTATTCACGGACAAACATGTGGTCCAGAACACTGGGAAGAAAGAATCACAGCATCTCTGTTATAGCTCAGCTCCTGAAGGGTTTACACCAATGTCCTTCCTTCTAAACACAGCAGCAAAGTCAAGCATGCATGATTTACTGTTGAATGGTTCTATAAAAAAAAATATTTCACTTGTAATTTCTGCTGCTATAAATAGCCACGTGGTGACAAACCTCCATGGACTGCAGCAAAGCAAACACAATCTACGCAGGCATTACGCTAGTGCACACTGGCACTAAATGCAGTAACAGAGCATTTATAATTTATTTTAGATGCCCACAACAGAAGCTCAAGCAGAGTCATTGTGATTACAGCAGTTACCTGGATTTTCACCCTTTTGCTGTGCTGAATTACATAAGGAGAATCGAATTTGGCTGATGGTCTTTCTTGGCACTCAAGTTTAGCATCATCTACATTTTTATCTTAAGACAGAAGGAAGTGAAACCTGCTGCCGTTTCACCCGCTGGATGAAGGGAATCCAGCAGAAACCAAATGGTTTATGGCCACCCTGCCATTCTGAGCCATCATTGACTCTGTTGATGCAGATTCCTACATACATGGAAATCACCTTTCTGCAGATGTTGCTTCTGAAACTGAATGAGGGTTCAAAGGGAAAGCGTGGTGCCCACTAAGGGGAGCTAGTTCCTCAGCTACTTGAGATGCAGAGAAGTTGAAGGCAATCAGACAACCAACTGTTGAGCAAGACAGAAACGGGGACTGAAAAACAGGGCTGCTGGTGAAGAGGAGTAACATTCTTGCTAAAATTGAGCTTAATTCCCTAAAATAGTTAGGTTTAGCATATTTATAGGTGGGAATCTCTACATCTCTTTTGTGTTTCTGTGATGGAATGAATGCTGGGATTCTTGATCTTTGTCATTAATTGCTATAGCTCCATGGAGAGAAGCATAATTTTGACTGTATCCACTGGACCTGAAGAAATCCACTTTCTCCCATTCTGTGGAATCAGTTAGCTCCTCCCCTGAAGCAATCTCCTTCCTCAGCCGTGCATTTCCTCTACTCAGCCTTTTTATCTTTCCTTAGCTAACTTCACCTGAGACTGGAGTAAAGAAGATTATGAGGGAGGGGTAGTTCATAGGCAAAACATCAGAAGCAAGCTTTGTCAAAATGCATATTTTTGAAGCAAATGTGGTTGATTTACCGCTTACATATTTTATATAGATACCTGGAAGTAGCAATGAATCATTACAGTTTAATGGTTATTAATGCCTATATCTTCCTTTCTGAGGCAAAATTCTCATTTTCATAGGAATTCTACTTGAGCAGGATGTGCTATATTTGGCTTTTATTGTGCAATAATGAAAACAACAAAATACAAAAGCCTGTAGTGAAATGTTATACAGAAAGTACACAGACCTTAAGGTGACACAAATAGGAAAAGTAAAATAAACTGTGCGTCATACTGTTGCAGCTGTTTCACCTCTTACCAATTTTCACAGTCTATAAAATCTTGGAAAGCACCAGATGTTTAGGGGAAGCTGTCCTACTCTGCCTAGCTTTGGAAGTGAATGTAAGATTTATTAGTGCTATATCAGTGCGATTTCAGTACTGGTTTTTGCATTTATAAACTAGGTGGAACATATAACACATTCCATTGTCAGAAAGCCAGTTTACTTTCCTCTGCTCCTCCTCACTTGTAGATTTTGGTGTTGCTGAACAATTAAAGTAACTGCAGAACAATACCAGAACATGCTTTCCAGACGATACTATTTGCTATGTTACTGACAAACACAAAGCTTTCTCCAAGTCCTAACTTTAGCCAAAACAACCTTCCAGTCCACTGATTATAAGCTATGCAAACCTATTCTGTTGTGCATGAATATGCACTACTATTTAGGATTCCTGCCTACGCATAAACTGTTGGTGCACAAAATTATTATTTTTTTCCTAGTGCATGGTTCCTCACATTGGAACAGGAATAAAAACTGCTCATGCATACTTTCCAATCTCTCATAGCTCAGTGGTGCTGTAAAGTGCTGCCATTCGTTTTAATTCAGTGAGAAGAAGTTTTGTTGTGTTTAGTACTAGAGAATTGCATCATGTGTTATTAGAAAGCCTCTGACAGCTGTCAGAATCAGAGATAACTTGCTGGATTTCAATCTTTTATAAAGGAAGAACTGAGGACCTTCATCCCCAGCAAAGCTGTCAGGGTTCTCACAAAGTGGGATAAAACAGAATACCTTTTCCATACACAGGGAGATCTCTATCTCTCCTCTAAACCATCTCCCATCAATTTGTACAGGGAAAGTTGTATAGGTAGAAGAGAGAGAAAATATGTCTTGATGTATCAATGCTTTATACTGTTTTGTCATCACTGACAGGAAGGGATAATTGCTTAGCAGTTTGCCTTGCCTTGAGGAAGCACTTGATGTTTTACATGGTATTTAATAAATTAGCACAATATTTTAACAAAATGTACTAGCTTTCATGCAGCTTTGCTTTTCTGAGAGCAGGAACAATGAAAATGTGAAATACATTGATGAAGACAAGGGCTTTGCATCAAAGACTGAAAGTCTGAAGCTGGAAGCATTTCCACACTTCTGAGCACAAAACTTACCCTGCCCAAATCTCTCAGTGGATTCAAAGCACCAGAAAAGGAAATCTCTTAAGGCCTGAGATCTTACCTTCCAGCTTTTGATTTGAACAGGTGCTTACCTTAACAGAAACTCCACTATATATTTAGTTACAACGTTTTTTTTCATAAAAGCCTACATTGTGTGATCACAATTAGTGACGATTTAGGTCTTGCATACTCTTTAAGTTCAAAGGGAAAGTAGCTTTTTCTGTCTTTAACAGGTGGGCATTTATTTCCTATCTACTCTTATTTAGCTTTCAGGTGATGAACTGCCTCTTCCATTCATACCAGCAGTACCATGGGTTTCCCCCATACAGCACTTCTTCCTGTGGTAGTTTCCTTTACCAGAACAAAGGACTGAGAAGGCATGCCTATTTGTATCCGTTTTATAATTGCTATTTGCATTTTTGCTTATGCTATTTTTGTAGCACACTTGATACTCTTTGCCATTTTGCTTACTCTGATCCATTTTTCATCCTGTTTTCTTCTCTCTATCCATCTCATACTACCACTGTGCTGAATAAGGTGAAAATGCATGTGTGAGTCAGAGTCATGCTTTCAAAGTCACATTGATCAGTGGGGTTTGAAATTAGGCAGAGATTGCTGATATTTTGTCTTACAAAAGAAGAAAATAGTATTTTCCTGAAGTACAATAAAGTTTATCCCATTTTTCCAACTGATTTTTTTTCCCCCAGATTCAGTTTTGCCTAGGATGTTTACAAAGGTTTGATATATAGCTATATACTATATAGTTATAACTATATATATAAGCTGGTTCTGTTCTTTCTATATTATCATATTATTATTGTATCATCTCATCCTATCTTTGTACTATATGTGACCAAAAGCAACTTGAAAGTCTTATTTCTTGTCTAAGATTATTCTTTCAAGAGTTTTTCTGCTCCAGGTTATCTGTATGGCTATTAAGGAGATTTCTTTTTTTGCTTATGACTTTACTTGATTGAAGAGTTATGTGAATAAAGCTGTAATAGCAATTATCCTTAAATATGTTTTCAATACTTCACTCTAACATTTTGACTGTATGTTTAATACTTCCTGCTCAGCACACTAGAAGAGAGACATTAGCAAATTTTAACTGGGAACAGGGAATTAATAATTTCTCATGTATGTAACATTTTAAGTTATATATACTATATACTATCAGAATTAAGAAAAGAGCTGTTGCAATTTATGTTGAATAGATGTTATACAATGCTACTATCTTTCAACTTGTAAGAGCCTATTTTGGCCTTGTTAAGCTTGTTATCATTTCCTCAACCAAAGTTTTCTAATATTTCACATATCGTGCACAATTTACATCAGAACTCATAACACCACACAATTCCTTTTGAAATATGAAATATGAAATGTGACTTGCTCTGGGGTGGAAGCGTCATTTCCTACTAGAAATTGAGATGCATCTGCATTTGTTTCATTGCAAGTATTGACCAACAGCATCTTCCAACTTGGCAGAACTCTGCAGATCTTTGCTATTACCAGTATTTCCTTCCACTAATATTTAAACTCTTCTTACCTATGAACAGATTCCACTCAGTATCCAAATCAGCCTGATTTGCTAGGCAGCCCTTCATTACATTGAGGCAATAGTTGTTGCAAGGTTTCACAGTGGGAAGTCCTCTGCAGTAAGGGCAGTACAACATCTTCATTAACGCCCGGATGCACCCTGGGGTGGGACTGACCTGCAGAGTTTGAAGGGGGGAAAGAAAAAGAAAAAGGAGGAAATCAATCTCCTGTTCTGTGAATGCTGGGGTAGCTGAGATTATGCCTCTCGAGCAATAAGCGTAGAAGGGGCAATCTGTGAGAAAAATCTCAATCCTTAATAACACCCTCCTATGATGCTAAACAATTCCTACTCATTGTCTTCATCAACTACAGCCGCAGTGACTTTCAGGAATGCAAAAAAATCAACAATCCCCTCCTGATGGCAGCACTTTCTGCCCCAGCCCTCCCACATGAAATCTATTAGAACTAAAGGAAAAAAAGCCAGGAAGTAAGTTGGGCAGAAACTGACCGATCCTAACCAGGAGGATCCTGAGGTTTTGCTACACTCTTCTCACTCAGGCTAGAACTGCCAGTCACACTGGATGAGATTCTCCTCTTCATTAAAGTGCAGTAAATCCAATATAATTCCAAGATAATTTCTATCAAATTATTCAGAAATGCATCATGAAAAAGGGATATCATCCTGTTCTCACACAAAAAAAACTCTTCTATTTTCTCAGGCAAATTCATAAAGAGATCAGTCTTTTTTTTTTTTTTTTTTTTAATGTATGGTTTTCTCTTTCAGTATCTTGAGCAACAAAAAAGCATTTTATTGACAACAGCCTAACGCATTTCACGTTAAGCATCAATATGGCAGAACATGGCTGCACTTGTTGAACTTAGAACTGCCAATCACAGCCAATGGAAAGACACCCCGTGAGTTTAGGGATTTCAGTCAAAATCATTAATGTGTGTACTGCTGACAGAAAGAAGTAGTATGTAGCTATAAACTTTCATTTATATCTAATAGAGTTTTCACTAGAGTCATGGTTTTCCCGGAGATGGAGAATTAAGGTCAGAGAAAGATTTCTTTCATAAGGACCTCCTGCTATCTCTAATGATAGGATCTTTCCTGCCATCTTTTTTATCCATCAAAATGCCAGGCATCCATTCAGTAATACCTTCTGTATCCAATTGGAGAGAAATAAATCTTTTTGGGGAAGTTTCTTTATCCCTTTTATTGTAGGGTAGGATAAATCTTCTTCTAGAGGACATTCACTGAATACTCCCTAAATACTCCATTCTTAGATTTAAACTGTCCAAATTGAGCACATTTGATAACCACTTACTGTTCGTTGGATAAATATTATTTCCCTTACCCTCTCATTTCCTTATTTCTTTCATATCAGACTTAAAATTTTACATGCTACAATAATGTATGTTTTCAGGACTGAAACTCTATCTTGCATTAAAAGTGCACAATATTAGGTACTACTTGCAAAAGGTCTTGTCACAGTGCAGTGGAGCATATGTTTCCTGTGTCAGAGTGACAGTCTAGCACAGTGACAGAAGGGCTACAGGCTCCTCAGTGATTTGAGAATTTCTGAACAGGAAAGTGCAAAGAAATGGCATTCCTTTCACTCATTTTGTTGGCTTATGAATAAATGCAACAGTTTAATATGAATTGCAACTATTTTTTTTCTATAGTCATGGAAATTTGTGCTAAAAGAGAGCGTGAAAGCATGAATCTGACTTTGCAATATAGCAGCCTGTGCTAAACCGACTGATAGTTCGGTTCAGAGAGTCTTTCTTCCACTTCTTCTTTTTTTTTTTTTTTTTTGGACAACTCTGCTAACAGTTAGAGCAGATGCTTCTGACTATGCTCAGAGGTGACTTTTGCCTGAGGGTGCCCTGCTTTTTGCCTCTTGCCTCACGCAACACTCAGATGAGTTGTGTAAAGGTATATTCGGCCATCTTGTCCTGATAACTTTAGAACATGTTGGCCAATTTCAATCAAATTTGACCGAGGACTTCAAGTCTCAGTACAATAAGATCCTACAAGCTTTTGGAAAACAGCTGGGAGAAGAAAAGGAGATAGTCTCTGTTACTGCCTTTATTTAGGAAAAGGCTGAATCAGAAGGTCAGTTCCACAAGGAAATCAAAGAATACACATGGAGAATGATTCTGTGAATGTCCCAGGGGTTAAAAAAGCACTAAAAGTAAAAATTTAACCTTATTAATCACCAGAAAATCCAAATACTAAGTATAAATCAAAGGAAGCATTATAATCATTATTTCCACTGCTCAGAACAACTTTCTGTGGTTACTTGCCTAGTTTTTTTTATCCATATACCCCCCAAACCTAGAACAGGCCCACTTTTATAAAATTAGCAGTGAAAGGGGACTGTGAGTAAAATACAGAGCACTCAAAATTAGTTTGAAATTGCTGTTTATACTTTGTTGTATTTCTTCCAGTCGCCACTGAGAGTTTTATCAGCAAAGTTACTTTCATGTCTAAAATTGTGCTTCTTCTCCTGCCCAGAGTTCTTGTCAACGCAAAGTTGTTGACACCTGGTTGACCTCCTAAGTTCAGCTGAAATCCACATGTTCTCCCATCTATGTCTTCTCAAGCCCATGCTGGTACTTGTGCTGACATCCCTTATATTTATGGGGTCTTAATCTTCTGTGAAAATATACTGGTGCTTTCATTCTTGAAAAGCATAACTAGAGAAATAAAAACAGTTCTGGTTTATATTATTGTATTTGTAACAACCAAATATCATAAATATTTACATGAGCTTTATTTTATCACAAATTTAATCAGGTACCAAATTTTTCTCTGCTAAAGGTCCTGATCATATCTCTGATATGCTAGCACAGGACCCTAAAAGTCAATTAGAATATTTATTTACAAGAGCTCAGTGAATTCTGAATTCTTTTTGCATTACAGGTCAGCTTTAATCAGAGCACTGTCTCATGGCATCCACTCCAAGGCAGCAAGGATTATTTCTTACCACACAAAAAGAATGAGCTGAACTCAAGCCTCTCAGATCTTGTCTGAATGTTTCAATATCCTTTGTATAAAATGGTGGCATCATCAACATCATTTTATAAGAAAGGAGGGTGCCCTGCTTTTTCTTTTTGAGAGAAAGCCATTTTAAAGAGAGGCCAAACTGTGACTTGAAGAAAAAAGCACCTGGAGAAAACTACAGCAGCCTTTGGTAGATTATATAGACCTATATAAGCATCTCCTTGCTGATCATGCTGGATGTTGCAGATCTCTGTCTCAGAAGTTGCTATGCTGCTTAAATAAAATATCAGCTGATCACTCTGAGGCCAGGTAAAGGGTCTAGCTTACGTTCAAGATGTTTATGGCTAGCACCTACAGGCCATATTCCATAATACTACATTGCATTTGGCACTACAGGCTCCCTTGGGTTCCACGTGGTGCCTGAATAAGTAAAATAAATATTTTTGTGTGGTTATTTTTCAGCTATGGAATAATAAGAGGCAGTACTGCAAGCAGTAGGATTAGCAATAAGCTAAATATAATGTTGCTTGTTTTGAAGAAAGAGAGGAGGTTATTTCTATGATATTTAGATTACACTAGGAAGGAAAGAAGAGGACAACAACAGGACAAGTATCTTCTGGAACTGATCTCTATGAGGAAACTTCTCTGAAAAGCACACAGGCATTGATTGCATGGGGAGATCTAAAGCAGGCGGTCCAAAATGGATCCAGGAGGGTCTAGCAATTAAGCAGTGATCTGGTGAGTCTTGTTCTCAATGCTGCTCCAAGTCTCCATCACCTACAGTACAAATGTACCTCCACATGACCATATTTTATTGTGGCAAAGGGAAAAATGAACATGAATCATCTACTCTAGAGGCCTGAAGACTTTATGAATCCAGCCTCCAGTGAGCAGCCAAGTCTTGATTTTCAGCTTCAACCCTTTTTTTCCTATTACTTCATTTTCAGAGAATAGAATCAGCTTTTTCTCCTTCCTTAATGACAGCTCTCATGCATAACAAATTATCAAAATTTTCTCTAACAGTGTGAAATCTTGGTAAAAGAACAAACATAAAGAAATCAGCTTAGATTTTGAGAACACATGGAATCTGTATATTATTATAGAAAGTTGCTTTTCAACCAATCAGATTGACTTGACACATTTTCTGATGGCAAATTAAAAGAAACATATTTTGAAAGCCTATTTCTCATGTTCGTCTTTCCATCTTAAAACAAACAAACAAAATCTCCAAAATCAAACCAAAGAAACCCCACAATATCTTTACTCAGAATCTCTCACACCTAAAAATATTTTTTCTGCAGACCAGTCAAATGAAAGACATTCATATCATTCAGAGGTATTTGAACCCTGCATTTGCTCAGGAAAACTGTTTATCAGCTTTAAATAATATTTGTTACCATAGGCTTTTATTTACTTATTCAGTCTTTTACAATGCATTGCAACTAATCATAGCAGAGAAATTTGCATGGACACCAAAGTTTAGAAATAAAAAGTCCTAAAATAAATCATATTTTAAAAATCAATCAGAGCACATCAAATGACACTATTGGAGAAACCTCCATAGAGGAGTCATTAATTGTATATCATGTTTTCTCCCTGACTGACTAGGACATCTTCATTTTAGTATAAGCATGCACAGATTGCAGCATGTCAGAAAAGTAACTATCAGAACTTTGACTGAGCCCAGTAGCATGTTACACAACATTTTTAAACATATTTTGACAGCTTCATCTTTATCCAAATGTAAGTATATGCATACATGCAAAAAAAAAAAAAAAAAAAAAAAAAAAAAAAAAAAAAACAAAAAAAACAAAAAAACCCTAAACAAATCATAAAAACAAAACCATAAAAACAACTCCAAAACCACCAAAAAGCAAAATTCTATAGGCCTTCATCACCGAACACTTGCCCCTTTCAGAAATTTTGGAAGTAATATTATTTCACCTAAAAGACAGAATTTGCAATCAAGAAAATATAAATAATTTAGGATAGAACTTTTTTGGGGGGCACATCATGAAGTTGCATTCTCTCATAACACATTTTCAAAAATCACACTTTATTACGTACCTGATCTATTTTTATAATCAAGACTTGGCTTTATTGTGTACACAACTTAAATCTTTTTTTTTTTTCTGATATAAAAAGTTCAGAAAAACAGTTTAAAGA